AGTCAACTCAGAGGCAGGATCCGTCGGTTGATGATCAGCTTTGGAGGAGGTATGGGACCTGCACAGCGTGACCACCTCCAGCTCGAAGGAGGCAGACGTGGAAGCGGAAGTGTCAGTGGTGGCAGTAAAGGAGCACATTGCCTGTACCCTGGGAACGATGTCAAAATGATTGAAGTCTATGCAGAGCAAAAGGTGAACATTTGAAGCTGTTTTAGTTGTATTAATATCAATTTAATATTAATTTATTCAGTATTTTACATTTATACAATGTATTCAGTAATTTGTTCCGTAATCCAAGACGACGCCAGAACGTGGTGAAACTATTCACTTTTCACTGTACCTTGGAACAAGAGACAACATATTAAATAAATCTACTACTGTTCTGGGCTCCCTAACTTTCTGATATGCCATGATGGGCAAATAGCTGAGAAAATCTCCCACTTTTCAATTTTTAACCTCAAAGTTTTGCTTGTTCAGTAGTTATTTCAGTTGCTTTATCCTTCCCACGTATCAAAAAGAAAAATGGGCAGCAAAATGGAGCATAAAAAGCATCGGCATATATTGCAATTCTCTAAATCTTAATAAGACAAATTTTCAAATAGGTTTGGTGCAAACACAAAAAACCTGCCATGTTTTTTCCCATGCATTAATGATCCAATGCTCACTTGAACATTGTCTTAGTAATAGGACAATGACACAGATGCAAAGTAATGATTTAAAAAAAAAGCCATTAAAGTCAGGAAAGCTAAAAGTGGTATTACTAATAGAAAAGCAGTAGATAGTTCTGCAGAACAGGAAATAATGCTGTTAGCATTGGTTTTGTAATTATTTCCAATACATGAGTAATACAGCTATACTAACAAATGAACTGTGGATCTTTACACAGCTTATATCACAACTAGGAGCAAATTACTACAGATGCTGGAATCAGTACTGAAAACGACAAATGCTGGAGATCACAGCGGGTCAGACAGCATCCATGGAGAGAAAGCAAGCTAATGTTTCGAGTCGAGATGACTCCATCAGTGCTGAAGTGAAGTGTGGAGGGGAACAGCATTTATGCTACAGTTGGTGGGGTGAGTGTAGTGTGGTGATGGATGTAGAGTGCTGGTGGAGGAAAGATGTTGATAGTTTAGCTTAAGTGATCAAAATGTGAGAATGGCAGAATAATGGCATGTCTAAATACCAGACTTGAAAGAGAAGACAATCCCACTGGTGTGGAGGGAGGGGAGAGAGGACATGGTGACAGAGAACATAACAAGTAAAGCTATAAGAAAGGGAAGAAATGGGAGTTAGTTCACAATTTGAAGATATTAAACTCAATATTAAGTCCAGAAGGCTGTAAAGTGCCTAGTCTGAAGATGAGATGTTTTCCTCAAGTAACACCTCATCTTCAGACTTGGTACTTTATAGCTGTCTGACCTATTTATATCACAACAATGTTGCTGCTGGATCTTTTCTCCAGATGGTCGTTGTGAGGTTGGCTAAATTATTCAACAAAATATATTCATCAGCCTATGTATGTAGAAGTGGATTAAGAAGCCACACTACTCCAAAACAACAGCGAATTAAATCATCCAAATAAAGAAAAGAGGTTTGACATCGACAGTACAAAGTTGTCCAGCTGTTGAGCTGACATGATTGGCAGGTACATGCATCTCAACAGAAAGCACCTTATCAACAATGTAAGTAAAACCATATGGATTCAATTATTTTTACTTATTAGTGCTTTCCATTAACTAAGTCAAATTGTATTTGCTGATTTTATGTTTTATTTTAATGCATGATGTTATTCTCCTCTGGCCTTTTATTTTAATTTTAATTTTTGCAGATTTTGACCTAGCATTTAAAAAAAGTCTCCTCATGTCATACAGAGCCATTTCCAGGCACAGTTCTGAATAAAAGATATGATCACGGACATGTCAAAGAAATACCTAATGTATAGATGCAGCAAATATGTTTGATACAATAATATTATATTGTGTCCATTTGTTAACAATAAATATTTAACACCTTAATGTCCTTGCAGCATTGGAAAGACATTTCTCCACAATCTACCACCATCTAAGTGAATGGTTGTTCATTTTCAAAGCATCATCGAGTGTAGTGGCGTGGAAGAAATGCATATTATTATTGCATACAATTTTCAAAATGAATTAAAATGTATTTTATATGTTCTAGTTCGTTGTTCAATTTCAACTTCAAAAATCAAAGCTAAAATCTAAAAAAATCCTTTTTATTCTATTCCTACATTTTGTTTTATATGTGTCTTCTAAAATAGATAGAGACAGACGCAGGCAAGAGGCAGTTCAAGTTCAGAATGGTGCAACAATTGACAGCCATTGAGGAACATGAGAGAAATGAATGGCACCCTCTTGAGATGGCTTCTCGCACACATTGGCAGCTTGTGTGCTTTACTTTTTCACTGCTTTTCCTTCAGTGATCACTGGAGACCTCTCTGCTAGTTTGGGGTCACTGGGGTTCTGTCCTCTTTCACACAAATTCAGCTTTAGTCAGGGTTTTTTTGATGACAGAATGTGAATTTCTTAATGCACTAGTGAGCTATGTGACTAGTATGGGACTGTCACTTTAATCTGTTTCAAAAAAGGCTGTGTGCAGCATGAATAAATGTCTGCAATTTCTTTTGGGGGAGAGAGACGTTTTTTGACCAACATATCCTTTCTGAGCCAGTAAAAATCAGCTATTACCACAGTTAATATGAAAAATTGATGGGAAACAGGTGTTCTGAGCTGGCTTCTTTTTTAAAAAAAGTCCTAAATAATGCATTTGGTTGGATTAGTGTAATTATTCAATGAATTGATGTTCCTTGCCAGTAAAAGAAAAAGAAAATGCAGAAAATTGGGAATTGCATTATGAAAAGATAAAAATAAAGTCCAGATTCCAGTCATTTACATTAAAAAGAAATCAGACTCTTTTTCTCCCAAATGAAATTTGATAGTGACCATTTTGTATACAGGAAATCATTTCCACCTTCTCCATCTATCCTATGGTGCGTAACAGCTGTAAAAATCGCAACATGCAATTTTCAAATGCTGAATATTCTAGCATAGAATTAGATACACATTCAGAATCGTAGAGACGATGTCAATGTCTTGTTTTAGTTGGACATGCTGGGGAAAATCTTTCATCATTTCTGTTTTGGGGCTGTGAAGAAGCACTACAGCAACTGCAAATGCTTCAACAAGACATTTTAATAATGTTATAGCTACATTAATGCAAATAGTCTCTTTAATTTGTGAATATTGTCTATTCCCATAGCTATATTGCACTACAAAAGCAGTAAGACTGCATGGGGCTTATGGACTCTGGAAAAGATTGATGACAGAAGTCAGGACTATAGCCTTATCTATTGCCTTTATGATTTAAGACATATCAGTTAGTTCAACACAAGATTATTTGCTTTTACCACAGATATTTTGACAAAGTAAGTTTTAACTATTGGTTGACTGACTGAAATACCATGTTGAGCAAAGAGAGGTTAGGGTCATTTCAAGACCCAAGTACATTTAAAAACACTGAACTCCCTGTCCCAAGGAAAGACATTAATGTGGCCAAACTGATCCAAGCCAAAGAATTGTAGTTAGGGCCAGCAAACATCCAGCTGAGATCAAGGTAAATCCTGGGATCATACGAAGGGAGGGGAGATTGGGACAGTTTAATGGTGACAGTCGCATATTGGGGAGGGAGTATGTTGCTGGGTGTGGGAATTCAGTGGGAGTGGAGAAAGAATCCCATTCTTGTTCCACAAAGTTAAAAAATTCTTTGGGGCTGTTGTTCAGCTTACTAAGCTCATAGGCTTTAGTTCCCTACAAAACAAGAATCCAGTCGAAACATAAAAATGGCTTACCATCTGAAAGAGATGGTTTATTTGACTGCTCAGTAGTAAAGGCCTTTTAAAATTTGTTGCATTTGGAGAGTCAGGTATTAATGGAGTGGCAAGTCTATTGGTCCCATTTTGAGGCCATTATCACCTCTTAAATGGCAATTTGATTAATTTAGAACTGGACCAAGGGCTTATAAGTTGTTTTAAGCCATGAATTATTTTGCATTGTATTTCAGGTTTTTCTGCAGATTTCTGTTCTTTAAATTTAAAAAAAAGGTCTATATCAATGCCATAGTGAAGAAGCAGTACAGGTCAACCTAAATTAAAAAAAAATGCAGATGCAGGTAACCTATAACAAAAACAGAAACTGCTGGAGAAACTTAGTAGATTTGGCAGCATCTGTGGAGAGAAAGCAGAGTTAACATTTTGGGTCAAGTGACCCCTCTTCAGAACTTAAATTTCAATTTCTTTCAATTCCAATGAAAGATATTCTGACATCCACTCAATACATTTTCCTTTCACCAATCTGCTGTACAGGATAACCTTAAAAGCTTATGGTCTGGAGTGTAACTGAATTACCACAACCTATGATTTTGCAAAACATTGTGAACACATCTCTATTATTGTAGGGTACAATATGCAGTTGTGTTTTTTTTTGCGAGAGAAAACTCATGGCAAGTGAGAGTTATGTATAGTAATAATGAGAAATAACTTCAGGGGCAGCTCTTGTGGCACAGTGGTAGTGTCCCTACCTCTGAACCAGGAGGCGTGGTTAAGTCCCACCAATTCCAGGGGTATGTAATTACGTCACAGAGCAAGTTGATTACATGAAATGTGAAACAGCCTCAGAGTGAATGATAGCCTATTTTACTTTATCACTGACTTTAATAGCTATACAGATGTAGGGGGCTTTTGAAACAAAAAACAGAAATTGCTGGAAAAGCTCAGCAGGTCTGGCAGCATCTGTGGAGAGAAATCAGAGTTAACGTTTCAGGTTCCAGTGACCCATCCTCAGAACACAGAGTTATGTGGATTGGCCATTTGGAAAGAAAACACGAATAGATAAAAAACACATTCCATATATTTAAATTCCTTTAATTTCTTATAAAATCACACATTTGAATTCTTAATCCTACTTAAAAGAGTTTACATGCACTTGAATCTGTCAATTGAACTGTGAATTAAGAGGTACTACATTGTGATAATGAAGGGTTATAAAATCCTGCAGCACTAATCCTTGATTAAGAATGTTCAGTCTTCTGTCAGCAGACAGTGAAACAGTAGTATTTAACATCACAGAGTTTTTTTTAATATTTAAAGGGAAGGAGTTTTAAATGCCCCATCAACTTGACAATTTGATTTATTACATCCATCTGCAGGTGAAATTCCTCAATTTATTATAGTTCCAGCAGTAATTGTCCCAGGTGAGGAGTGGTGAATTTCTCCCCTTCTTCATTCACTTGGTCCTTGGTTGACCATAACAAGGTTAATAAAAATGGATCCCTGTCTTTGTGGATCTGTTCTTCTCAGACCTAATGAAATTACATTTTAAAAGAGTCAATTTAACCAGGCCTCTTGAGTTAACAAAGAATGTATTATTAGTTAGTAAGTGCTAGAAGGAATAATAACACAAAAGATGTACATACAAAGTAGAAATGAGAAATAATTCCCAAAAGAAATGATAAAGTTAAAAGATATACAGATCAGTCTGGATCATTCATGAAGAATTGACAGGAGAACATTAATAACTGAGCAGTTGATTATGAGATTCTTGACTTTGCAGGTTAGCTGTAATTTTTTTGTCCTGTTCCCTTTTGGACTGGATTGCTGTCCAGTTTGCAGCATTTTAAACAAGAGAATCCTTTAGTTGCAATGCAGGAGGGACCTGTAAGGTACTCCTAGACTGTGACTTCCACAGAGCACTAGTGATCAAAAGATTTAAAAGAGACCTGAGGGACAAATTTTTCACACAGAGGGTAATGCATATAGGGAGCAAACTGCCAGAGGATGTGGTAGAAGTGGGTACAATTACAACATTTAAAAGACATTTGGATAGGAATATAGATATGAAAGGTTTGGAAGGATATGGGCCATACACAGACAAATGGGAATAATTCAGTTTAGGATATTTGGTCAGCATGGACAAGTTGGGCCGAGGGATCTGTTCCATGCTTTGTGACTCTATGAAAAGTCCACACAAGTACCTCAGTCCACTAACCCATACAGTCCAGGGTTGAAACTCACTTTTAACTGGTATTCTTAAGAGGGGACTTTCCTTCCAGAATGAGCACAATTTGAGGTAATCGCAGGAGATTACTGTTCAGTTTATCGTGCATTTTGCCCTTTGAAGCTTCTGTGGAACCTTCAGGTGTGATATTCCAGGATTCGTCCACAGTCAGCCAATAATATTGCGTTCACAGGCATCTTTTGGCTGTGTATGCTTATCTTAAAAAAAAAGAAATACAGGTTAAAATTAAAAGTTCAATATGTCATTAGATGATCCGGGGTTAAGACGTGTGACCATGAGACTTAAGGGAACTTCTTTTGCCAGTGGCATTTTACAGCTTCTGTTGACAGCTCGTTTTAACAGTTCCCATGAGTCAATACTTTTATACACAATCATGTCTCCATTAAACAAGTCCCAAAGGGCATCTTACCTTTCACAAAAGGCATCTGACCTCCCCAAAAGATGTCCCAAGACCTTTTATAAAAGTATTCTTTAAAAGGGTTCTCAACCTCTTCATAGAAGTTTACAACTTTAGATGCTGTCTTGCCAGTCACGTTTTGGATATCCCACTTCTAAATCACAGGTTAGCCAGAAATATTTAAACATGAACATGTGCTCTTGCTTCTCTGAGCTACAAATGTGCAAGTTAGAACTTACCCCCAGTGATCCTTTGCATAACTGGCAGAGCCAGATCTGGGAGCAAGACTTTCGGATTCAGGCTTTCACCACCATTTTCACTGAAGCAGAGAGCCTCTCAATCTGTGTTAATATTCTCATTTCCATATTAATGAAATATCACTAATGTATGACTTTTCATAGAGTCACAAAGCATGAAATGGATCCCTCAGCCCAACTCGTCCATGCTGACCAAATATCCTAAACTGAATTATTCCCATTTGTCTGTGTTTGGCCCACATCCTTCTAAACCTTTCATATCTATGTACCTGTCCAAATGTCTTTTAAATGTTGTAATTGTACCGACTTCTACCACATCCTCTGGCAGTTTGTTCCATATATGCATCACCCTCTGTGTGAAAAAGTTGTCCCTGAGGTCACTTTTAAATCTTTTCCCTCTCACCTTAAATCTATGCCCTCTGGTTTTGGATTCCACTACCCTATAGAAAAGACCTTGGCTATTCACTTTAACCATGCACCTCATGATATGATAAGCTTCTATAACGTCACGACTCAGCCTCCTATGCCCCAGGGAATAAAAGTCCCAGCCTATCCAGCCTCTCCTTAGAACTCAAAGCTTCCAATATCGGTAACATCCTTATAAATCTTTTTTTCTCTTTCCAGTTTAATAACATCCTTCCTACAGCAGATCGACCAGCACTGTACATAGTACTCCAAATTTGGCTTTACCAATGTCTTGTATAGCTTTTATGCAGACCTCCTTTCAAACTTGATTAACAGCACTATAGATTTAGAAATTCTAATATCTGAACAATGAACAAAGAACAAAGAAAATTACAGCACAGGAACAGGCCCTTTGGCCCTCCAAGCCTGCGCCGATCCAGATCCTCTATCTAAACCTGTCGCCTATTTTCCAAGGATAATGTTATCTGAATATTGTTATCTTTGATACTTGCTCATAAAACATGATACAGCTGCCAAATCTATTCAGTATACATTTCAAAGTATAGAGATCAATTCTAAGTTACTCAATTCATCAGCATTCTCCTCAGTTGCACCTAAGTTCACCTTTATTTACAACACTAGGTCATTGCAGGCAATCATCAAATATATAGCATAGTTTTTTTTCTTTCATCTTCAGTTGAAGAATTTATTCTTTGTACGTGGTCTAAAGGAAAGATCAAACTTTACATGGAACTACATAGATGCTAATGATTTTCTTTGGGGTTTCCATTCTTAGTAATCTTCAATTGGAGGGGAATTGTGTACTCATAGCAAGTCCTGTGAAATATCATAAAGTAAACTCTAGACATTTTAGACACTGATATATGTTAATAACTATGGTTTATGCTTCCTGCTTTACTTCTCCAGCTGACAGTGATGCATCTTGAAACTTGCGTGAACTCAATGTTCAAGTTTTTTTGTGCATTCACAAGTTTCCAAACAGAATAGACCTCTCAAATATGAAATGTTGCTGTATAAGAATATTTAGTTACATTTATACACATGTTATAATATTTTTATGCCTTAATCATGTTACAAATTGACACAGCCTATGCCCCACCTGACCTAAATCTCTAGTGTTGTCACCCTTGTCCTTATTAGTCTCCATTGGCTACCTATGAGAATCAGTTTCAACATACTTATTATCATGTCAAATCCTTCTATGCCCTATCATCTTTGCTTGAACTCTATATGATCTGCTTCTTGTCTTGTTCCTTTTACTTCAGTGGCCTTTCCCTATCCTCTAGAAGTACTTACCTCATCATCTCTGCCTTGATACCATTCTCTTTAACTTAGAATGTCCCAGGTCCCTCTTCATTGTCTATCCTTTCGTCCTCATTTGACTTGGCTCATCAGCTGTCCCTCAATTTAACGATACTGTCTATTCAGGGCCTAACGTTTCTGCCATCGAGCTTTACATGGCTGAACGGACCCATTCTCAACTGAGAGAGCTGTAAATCAGGAACAAAAACAGAACTTGCTGGAAAAGTTCAGCATGTCTGGTAACATTTGTGAAGAAAAAAATCAGAGTTAGTAATGTTTCAGGTCCAGTGACTCTTCCTCAGTTCTGCTAATTGTTCAGAGATCATTGGACCCATGGACATGCATGATGAACAAGATGGTGGCCCCCAGAGTGCAGATTTTGTTTCCTCCTCTTTCCTTTCCTGCTCTGCCTCATCATTAAGGCATTGGGATTCAAAGCATAATAATGAACAAGCTATTACATTTTGGACAACTGGCCAAGATCCTGGCAGGCACCAATGTCAATGCAGTTTCACTTCAAGGAGAACTTCAGAGTATACTTGAGGTATTTTCTTTTCCCTGGAATGTAGCCATTTGAGAGTTGAGAAAGCAAGACATTAGGGTGGCACAGTGGCTCAGTGGTTAGCACTGCAACCTCACAGCGCCAGGGACCCAGGTTTGATTCCACCCTCGGGCTTTCCTCCAGGTGCTCTGGTTTCCTCCCTCAGTCCAAAGATGTGCATGCTAGGTGGATTGGCCATGCTAAATTGCCCATAGTGTCTAGGGATGTGTAGGTTAGGTGGATTATACAGGATGGGTCTGGGTGGGAAGCTCTGAGGGTCAGTGTGAACTTACTGGGCTGAAGGGCCTGTTTCTACAGTGTAGGGATTCTATGACATTCTATCAAGTGTTCAGGGAAGTTAACATTGCAGGAATTTGGCTCCAAGGCTGCCATGAGTACTTGCTGAACAGTACTCCAATTTAACCCATAGGATGTGGTGGAAGCACTACTAGTGAAATTTCTCTTCCATCCCTAAGCATCACTGACAAGTCCAGGTTTCACTCCTTCACACAAAAGTGTGCTTGCAAATGATGTCTTTTATTGACTTGTGGAAGTCTTTCTTGTCAAAAACGCAATGCCATTGTAAAAGACTGAGCTGGCATAGCTGATCCAGTATTGGTTCTCTTCATCAATGATTGACATTTGTTAGAAATAACTGTCCAGGTATAATAAGAGCTCGATATATTCCAGAATCGCTCCTTCAATCTATATGGAAAATAGACTATCTAGCTAACCATACAGTAGGTTGAAATATGAGCTTTGTTTTGACAGCATTCAAGGACAGGACAAATTTAATGTCTGCAGGAAAATAGAGACTGAAATAGTTTGCAAATCTGGAGCAGGTGAATGCTGTAGTCAAACTATAGTCTATGATGGTCAGTTATGTTTCAGCATGGAGGTGAATGAGGTTAAAGTGTCTTTTATTCAGGTAATAATTAATAATGGCACCAGAGGACAGTTGTTCATTGATGAGGTGAGTAGCCACTTTTACAACGAATGGAACTGTCTCAGCCTTTAGGTGTCATGAACAATGTCGACACATTTGGAGGAAATGAAAAAAGATTTAGATTCTCAACATTGAGAATAAAAAGTCTGATTTTCTTTTTGACGTTTCAATGGCTGGATTAGAATCTTGCTAGTGAGCAATAAGGGATCTATTTGCATGCATTAATGTCTCATTATTATTTGGCCTAACTATGTTTATATGCAGTTTGCTATTTTTCCCCAGTTGCCAGCATTAAGTAGATGGTGCCAACTCCAGATTTAAAAGTCAACACTGTAACCTGGTGGCTGCAGCTTGCTGGAGATTTCACCTCATGTCCATCTCGGCAAATGCTCTCCAATATCTCAGGGCATGCTCCATGGGCAACAACCACTTGCTCTCTGCAAACTCAGAGGTTGGCATTAGCAAAGCACCAGTCTTACCATATTATCATGGCCCATTTTAGAATAACTAAGAATGCATTTCATCTGTTCAGTACTGCACTTTGGAGCTCCCCAAGACCTTGCCCTGTAATGCTGCTGCCAGGCCACTTTGTGTACAGGGTAGGACACCCATCTCACGCATCGGAACAGGATGCATCCCAGGGCACTTGGCTTGCTTTTACGGCGCTCAATATTTTTCGCTAACTTGGATGCTCACAGCATCTTTTCCTTGCCTTTTACCACAGGTAGAAAGCCACGTTGCCTGTTTCCCTACAGTAAACAATCCAGATACTGAATATGGCGATGTAGTGCACTGTGCTACCTCAATAGCAAGCTATCGTATGCGGAAGCAGCTTATGTGGCACATATACTGCATGCGCTTCAGTCACATGGTCACATCTGAATGGTGATCCAGTATGAATTTTACCACAGGGTACTGAGGAGAGCCTGGAGACCCAGAAGGAAAAAAAAACAGTAAAGCCTGCAAATATCACATAACGATCCTACATATCTTGTATACCTGAAAACAGAACTCCTCCCAGTAAGTTCATTTCCACATATGACTTTGATTTTTATCACTTGTTTCCCCTTCTGGGGAGTGTCACCAGCCACTGTGGATTCATGGTTGAGGAATTGTTGACAATAATCCTACGTTCGTTTTTGTTCCGGAAGTCACATATTTCAATGTTGTTTTCATCAAATCAGTCCTGGTGACGATGATTTTTAAACTCAATGGTGTGAGCACTGAATTTGTGTGCAACTGGGTTTATTTGATCCCACTGTTCTATAACTGAGTTCGATTTGTGAAGATTTTCCAAATTAGTCATGAGCTGTATTTGGAATTACTGT